TTTAAGGTTCATCATTTCACATGAGTATGTGTGTGTGTGTGTAAATTAAGGTTCATCATTTCACATGAAGAAGTGAGGACATCCTGCTGTGCTTCAAACACCGAGGTCACCTGTCCTGGGGTTAGACAGTGGTCACTGATTTTTACAGAGTAAGGTGGGGTAAATTCCTAGAGGGTACATTTTAACTTGAATATGTGGGGGGAAAATTTTACATACTTTAACTGCTAAGTAATACAAACCACCTTTATATCAAAATATATACTTAGCTATATTCTGGAGTAGAATGCAAATGTTCTCCAGCTTTTTCAGATAAAGCATTTAACTTCAAAGAAACTTCCCCCTTGAAGCAGGCCACTTCAAGCTTATCTCCCTTACCCTTGCAGGAACAAATTCATTTACTTGGGATGTTCCTGGGGGAAAATCTGAGAAATAGCAGCATGGATTCCTCTGACAAACATGCTGTGGACCAGGAATAACTTACACATCGTTTTTTCTCTTTGATTATCAGCCCAGACAAGGCTTCCAGGGATCCCTTCCTCCTCTGAGCCCTCAAACCCCTGAGCTTTATCTCAGACCCACGGGCACTTCTTTCTCAGTAGGTGCCATGAAGTGTCTGGGTGTTTTATACGAAGTGGAGGAGAGTGTACTGTCATGGTTTGCCTTCTGCCTGATCATGTGACCCAGAGGGGCCCTCACTGCTAGCTGGGACGAGTGGAGAAGCTTGGGAAGAGAGAGGGGTGTCAGGAGAAGTGGGGATCTGGGGGCCACGGGAGTGGCGCGGCCCTGACAAGGAGCGCCAACTACGGACAGCCACCTTGCAGGCGGTCTGTCTCCTCCTCTTCCCTGCGACTCGCAAGCCTGTCCAGTGGGGGAGGAAGGGGTACGTGGACGGGGAGGTCGCCGAATGCTGCAGTTAGCATTGTTAGCACCCACCCGCCCCGTAATTCAAAAAGGGTTCTACATGGTGAAGCTGAAGGCTGCGAACCAATACGGGGAAAGCGTGATGTGGGGTATTACTCAGACACAAGGGGTTCTATAACCAGGGGCGAGGGAAGCAAAGCCAGGGACTTGCCTCCCCCAGTCTAGTCTGGGGAAGTACAAGCTGACTGATGAAGCACAGACATCCTCTCACTCCTCCAAATCCCAATCCAATTGGCTTGGGAGGTTTTACAATATTTTATCCAGAGCTGATAGGACAACTCTGGAAAACTGCCACATTTTCATTTTACTCTAAAATCTAGAAGTAAATTAAAATCAGTGTTTATTTTTGGGAAACCTGGAAAAACAACTATTACTATTGCTGAACTTGGTTTTTTTAAAACTTTAAAGCTACGATGACAAAGAGTAGAGGATGGCGTGGGACAGAGCAAGCGAAGAAAGGGTTTGATACCTACAGAGATCCAACAAAGGCCACGTCAAACCAAAACGCCAGGCCATGGATGAGGCCAGACTGCGCCATATGAAACACAAAGGGAATTTCTACTCTGCAAGAAATAAAAAGAGAGAAAGGAGAAACACTTGGAATTATTTTTTTGTTGATAGACATACTGGGTATATTTGTGAGATCAACGGGAACATTCACAGAACATTTTCTTTTTCTCTTAAGCACTCTCACTTTGGCAGCAAGATTCTCTCGGTGAGGATTAATGCTTGGGTGATGCTGCACATTTGAGAATGCTGCTTCTTGATGAAACTCTGCAAGGACCACCCCACTGTGCGGCATGACCCAGAACCCCAGAGGGCGAGTGCAGCCTCCGGAGCTGGGGTCGACCACTGCTGGGCAGGATGACTCGGGACACAGGTGACAACCATCCCTCCAGAAGCCAAAATACGGGCTGGGGCAGCTCCCCTACGCAGCTGTTCAGAAGGCAAAGGCTATTTCAGGCCCCTGACAAGTGAAGTGGACCGCAAGGTGGAACATCAAACTCAGAAGGTCACTGTCACGGTTCATTTAATTTTCTGGGAGGCAATTTAACTTCCCACCAGGCTCCAGTAAGAGTCAGGCCGAAGCGACCACGGCTGATGCTAAATGCACAGCTAAGTGGGAAGAGAAAGAATACTGGAAAAGAGAGGACAGAATCTAGACGCTGGGCCTGTTTTTCAGCTGGGGAACTCTGAAAAGTCACTCAAACTCTCTGAATCTCAGTTTTCTCTCTTGTTGAAGAGCAGCAAAACCGCTCTCCCACTTCCCTCTCACGGTGCTTGTGTGTGTCAAATGGGAAAAAAATGCACGTGAGAGTGCTTTGTAAACTCTCAAGTATTTCCCAATTAAAAGGTGGTACGACCAGCCCATTGCGGATGCTGTGTCACTCCAAGGAGACACACTTTAGTGAACGCTCTAGAGATTTTCAAAGGAGGCTGTGTAGTATTTGCATTTATGGTGCCTCCAAAGGCCTAACTTCTTCCACCCTGCAGCAGTCAGAACATTTTTAGAGTTTTCCACTGTACCCGCCACATTGACTTTGTTGCTATTGCATTCTGATTACTTCCTCCCACTTTTTGAATTCCTCTAAATAAACCATGAGCTCCTCAAGGACAGACTTAAAAAATTCCTTTTTGTACCTGTGCAAGCATCAGCACCGTACCTGGCACAAAGCTGAATCTCAATAAACATGGGCTGAATCAAGGCACCAGTGAATAGATGGCATCTCTGAAAAGCCAACACTGAGATAATTTTCAAAAAATTCTTTGGGACTCAAGAGGTATCCCAGAGTAGCAAATAAAGTCAATGGAAGTTAATTTTGTCCAGACCTGGACATCAGAGTTGTTTCCAAACGCCAGTGCTCTTGCTCTGAGCATACAGGAAGACTGCACTCATCCACCCACCGGAGCTTAAGTACTGCCACGTGATTTGCTTTGAACAACTAAACATGAACAGATGTGAGCTGTGTCATTTCTGGGTAGAAGCTTTTAGTCCAGTACATGCTATGCCACGCTCTTTCTTTTCCTCAGTAAACAGCACTGTTCCAGATAGAGGCTGCGGCACCAGCCTGAGTGGTGGGGTGGGTGATGCCGCATGGAGCTGGTGCACAAGGGAAAAACAGTGCAGGGGAGAAAGACGCCTGCGTTATCATAAGCCCCTGAAGTTTGGCCTCGTTACTGCAGCGTGCTCTAGCCTGTCCTGACTGACACAGCATCCTCTGTCCATCGTGGTCTCAAGACAGATGGTAGTCTGAGTTAGCCAGCTGTACCACCTTCTAAAGTCTGACCCCTGCTTCCTCAGTAGTCCAGGCAAATTATAACCTGGCTGGGTCTTAAATTTCTTACCCAGAAAAAATATGAATGTTGACTTCAAGGAGAAAAGGGCAAAATACTAATGAAAGGTCATCCAAAGGGGATTTGTATCATTATCTGAGAAATGAGTCTTCATTTCAGAGTCTCTTCAAGTGAAGTAAAAGAGGGCAAAAACTAACATTTAAAGAGGGTCCTCTTCAAAAACGAGGTAGTGCCTGGAAAATTCCTGGCACAGCACCTGGCACACAACAAGCACAACAAGTTGCAGCTCCTCTTCCCCTGTTATTACAGGTCCTGGCCTGGGGCGAGGGTTAGAAAGCCCGGAGTTTGGAGCTTCCTGGAAGGCTCAGTCCTAGCGAACACTTAGCAGTTCGGTGCATTTTACATAATTCTGTGTATATAACGTACTATTTCACTCTGCCTCATATTTGTCACTGGTCAAGGGAGGATAAAAATGGCACCATATGCACTGGGTTGCTGTGAGGATTAAATGGGTCGTTAGATGTCAAGGGCTCAGAACAGTGTCTGGCTACATGAGTATAACCTACTACTATCTAGTTTTCTCAATTCCTAAAGCAGTCCTGAGGAGGAGGCATCATTATCCTCATTTGGCAATAAATGAAACTAGTACCGGATGGACCGTTGCTGTGTGTGACTCACACCTGAAATCGCTCCCCTGTGTGAGCGAGGAGAAACTGCGAGACTCCGCCATGAAGTGCTGGCGTTGGGAGAGGTAGAGCAGATTTCAAAAATCAAGAGCAATGTTGATTTGTACAAACCTGTGGAGATCTGCCTCTTCTGCATCCATAAAGTTTACTGTGTACTTGACTGTCCGAGCCATTAAAATCCTAATGTCAAATGTGTCCTGGGCGGCGGAAAAACAAAGATGTTATCTTTCATCAGGATAAACTGAACTCAAGCAAGATCGCAGCCTAGCTTTCCTCCTGAAATTTTAAGTCAGCAAGAGGTATTAGGAGGTAGAGGGCATGAGCTTCATGAGAATAACAGTAATAACAGAAGCTAAGATTTAGTTAGTGCTTTACTACATGCCAAGCACTAAGTGCTTTGTGCTTTACTAGGTTGTATCATTCAATCCTCACCAACAGCTCTGGAGTGTGCCTGTGCTGTTGTTTTGACTATCCCCAAATGACCTCTTCTCAACACTCCAGTTAGTTCCATAGGAATCCAGTCTACTCTCAGCCCCAGGTGTGGCATCCGACCTCGACGGGCCAGAGCATTTACTTTTCCCCTGAAGACAGTAACTGGTTCATGGACGGATGCGTGACCCAAGGTAGGACAATGAGGCTCCATCTAAGCGAATTCTGGGGCTTTTGCCCAAGTTATCAGGAAAAGGCAGGCTGTCCTGTGGCACTTAGTGAGTTGTAAGAATCTGAAGCTGGGGTTTCTGCTGCCATCTTGCTACCATATGGCGCGATCCCGTCTGGGAACACAGTAAAAGCAAAGGAAGCGGAGACAAGTAATGAGAACAGAAAAACCAAGTCCTTGTGACACTGTTCAAACTCCTGCAACAGGTCCCTGAAGCAAGCTGTACCTCCAAACTTTGAAGTATTTGAGGGACAAAAATTTCATCTTAGTTTTAAGCCAGTTTGAGTTGGGTTTCCTTCCACTTAAAACTAGAGTTTCAGATAATGCAAACAAAATGTTGTCCAAGGTTACACAGCTCGATGGGACCACAACTGAAACCCAAATCTGTTTGACCGCAACACTCCTGTTCTAAGCTATTTATTACCCAAAGCTTCCGCTTTTATTATGCCTGGGGCCACGAGAATCAAGGGGAGGATGTGATTTTTGAACAGGTATGAAGGCTGAGTGTGTGCACGGGGCGAGTAAGGGCAGTTGGAGAATTAGAAGCTATTTATTGAAAGGCAGTCAGAAAATCTTGTTTTCAACAGTATCATTCTCTGAGAATTTTCCTAATTGATTGGGAGATCAGAGCTGGAAAACTTGAAAACATACTGCTCCAAGGAACTCTTTCTCTGCTTCTGTGACAGGTTTAGCAGAACCTGCCAGCACAGTACATCCCAGGAGCATGCATGAGTAAGTGAATGAATCAACAGATAACTCTGTGGGAAGAAAGAACACTCTTACTACTATTGGCTGTCTGAAGTATTCATCCACGGCAGCACCCCGGAGACTGGACAGGTTGACCCCGTAGAAGCACTGCTGGTACCTAAAATAGGTAGCACAGAAAATCACCATGCATCTTGTCCTGCGTCCCCAGACACAAAGCTGTGATGTACTGCAAGGCTGCCTCTCGGGTCCTCTAAGTTAGCCCTTGAGCCAGTGTGAGAATGTGTGACAGGAAAGGGGTCGAAAGGAAGTGACAGACTAGGAAACACTCTCTAGAGAATCTGCACTTGAACTGAGGTGGGGAGACAAGGGAGGAGGAGGCAGCTGAGACAGAGGAAATTTCTTGTGGCAAGAAGACTGACAAGGGTATTTGGGGGTAGGGAGGCCTTTGAGCCCCTACCCTTGACCTCATGACACAAGGTGGCTGCCTACTCTAAGACATGCTTTCCATGTCCTAAAATACAATTCCTTGGCCTTCTCATTATCTCAACCCAGAGCACAACTTTAGATCTCCAACGCCCCTCAACACTCTCACTGTTTCAGGAAATAGGTTTCCCTTTTCTGTTCCTCCATGGCCAAAGGCCTGCAGCCTGATGACATTTGCTGTCCAACACCAGGTAGAGTCACAAGTGAGTGGGGCTGGGGCTGGTGGTGGACCAGAATCAACTCATCATAGTCCACTGTGTGTGTTTCCTCCCAATTCTGCGGTCAGTGACACCTGGACCACAGAAATGGGCAAATGCTCCCTCTTCTCGGTGAGCCGTATGTGCAGTGCTGACCAGCCCAGGGCTGGCTGGTACCTGGAGCACAGCAGGTTCTCCCTGTCAGCTTGGTTAATGGCCCTGGCTACTGAGGGAGGAGATCTATGGTGTGGATTAAGAGTGGCTTCATTCAGACTCTGCCACTGACTGTCTGTGTGCCTTAGGCAAGTTACCTGACCTCTGTGCCTCAGTTTCCTTATCTTTAAAATGAATAATTATAAGCTTACTTTGTAGGGTCATAGTAAGGGTTAAATGTGTTAGTACAAGTAAAACACGGCAAGCAGTGCTTGGCATTTTGCTACTAGAATATAAATGTGCTGACGATTACTCTCTGAACTTCATCTACTCAGATCAGCACTGGGGACCAGGGGAGGGGTTCCTAATATGACTGTGCCAAGGGATTACTTGGCGAGCTTTTAAAAATGCAAATTCCCAGGCCCAACGGCAGAAAGGCTTGGGGACCTTATCACTAGAGATTGAAGGCCTTTATCCTGAGATTGAAAAGAGGTTTCCGAACTAAGGGTGTGTGTGCATGTATTGTACAGCCTGTGAATCAGATGGGAATTCGATGCACCAGTTTCTCTCCTCCCCCAGCCCCACATCTGCCAACCTGCAGGGAAGACAGAGAGAGGAAAAAACAACACAGAACAAACGCAAAACATGTGGGGTGCAGTTAGATTTTCAGCCAAGATAAGGCTCTGAATCAGGAGGCAGTGCCTCAGATGGCTTCACAGGAGGCAGGGAGGCAGGAAGGCCCAATATCATTAAGTCAACAGGCAGTTCTCAACCTGCAGGCAAAACACGAGGCCTCACGAGCCTCTTACAAACCCTGAAGGGCGTGTGCCACTTCTCAGCTCTGAGACTGTGCTTACACCTCCTCTGAGCTAGGCTGCTTTCCCTCCTTCGCCCCGTTCATTCCTACTCAATCTGTATGTCTGAGCCCAAATATTTCCATCTGAAAATGTAAAACCTGGAATTACAATTAAATATTCAATGTTTACCTACTTAAGAGCAAGAATTATTCTTTTCCAACAGTGTATATTTAGCACTTAGCAAGGGGGACACTGAATATTGTTAGTACTAAAAATACCTATGTATGTATGCATATACATATATATATGTACATATGTATCTATCTATCTCTATATTTAAAGAATGAATGGAGAACTTGGTGTCCTAAATGGCCCTATGTGTGGGCGCCAGTGCCAACAAGGACAATGGAGAAATGGAAAATCATTTGCCCAAGTTTCTTCGCCTTCATCACTTGTTTCCTAATCTTCTCCTTCCACCAAGGGCCAGAGTCAGGCTGCCCACAGGTGAAGCCAACTGCAGTATACCACCGTATAAACACACATACCAAAAACAAGGCTCCTGTAATCCTAGAAAATGCTTGTAAACAGAACCCTGTACGTTTAAACAATCTTTTCTGTATTTAGATAGAGAGTGGAAGTGTTCTTGGGGAAACAAGTCATAGTCACAAAAGTGTTTATTGGAGGGAGGGGGGCAAAGAGAGAAGGAGCAGTGAACGGATAGAGAGAGCGAAGGGGAGAGGCGGGGAGGGTCAGACAGAGACACACAGAGAATTGCCCTGAAAGTCCAGAAGGATTCAACCTTGTCTGTCCTTGAGAATCCCCTGGGAAGCTTTTAAAAATTGCTGACGCCTGGACTGCATCCCCCAGTTGTGATTTGTTTGATCTGGGAGTTTAGCACTAGTGTGTGTTTCCAAAGCTCAACAGGTGATTCTAATGTTCAACCCGGGGCTGAATACTAAGATAGCTGTTCAGAAATCCTGGCCAAGCAGGTAAAAGAGAAAGCCCGAGGGCGAAGACAGTCCTCCACCTGCCAGTGGCTGAGGCTGCGAGCGGCTCTCCATTCTCTGAATACAACCTCAGCTCTGAGAGGGGCCCAGGCTGTGCCATTTGCTTTGTGTGTTCAGTGCCAATTAAAACCCAGCAGCCACGATCGGTGTGGTACAAATGGGCACCATTCCTGGGGCAGACGGAGAGCTGTGGGCAAAGAGCCCACTGCCTGGCTTTTAAAAACTTTCTGGCTGGACCATATTTCCAATTCTTAGAAATCTCAAATCTCCTTCTGAAATGCATCATAAAATAATTAAAGCAGATGGGAGCTGGCATCTCTCTGGGTCTCCTAAGATACATTGTCGGGGGATGGATCAGGAAACGAATCTGTTGACTTGGAAGCTGGGGATAATTTCCATTGTTTTCATCATATGTGGGTTTTATTTCCCAAGTTAGCTTATGGCCCTTTTATGAGCACATAAGGCAGAGTCTACATGTGTTTTTTACCTCCTGACTTCAAATTTTAAGTGTTCTCCCCCTCCCCCATAATACACGCTATGTCTGAAAAGTCCAGCCAGTATAGTCCAGAAGGGAAGCAATCTTCCATTAGTTACGCCTAAACACTCTCTGCAGAGTGCAGAGAACCAGCCCAGACTTTTACCATCACATCAGCTTCTCCATGACTTCCACGCGGAGCAGAGCCTGAGAAGCAACCAGGAGAATCTTCCCTCTCCAGTCTCTTTTGTTCCTGTTGTTTCTCCTCTACCTCACCTTGGTCTTTTGTCCTTCCTCCTCCTTTACACATCTCCTCCCCACACCAGGGTCCTGGATGTGTCTCAGAAGGATGGTGGTACAGCCCTGGGTCCTCTCGCAGAATTTAGCACTGATCTTTCAGATTCAGCAGATGGGAGTTTCTGTAACACGAGCACTCCTGTGTCTTGCTAATATGAACACATTCTAACACAGCCTAACTTAGATATTTGACTTTCATAAAAACCTTTGCTTATTCATTCTATTCCAACAACAAAAAATTCACTCATCCCCGTAAAAACTTCATTCCTTTAAAAAGACCAAAAAAGAAAGAAAAGTAAGGGAGAAGAGAAAACCCTATTCTGCTGTTCAACAATTAAGCAGCTTTTGGGTACCTGGATGTAATACACTCCACCAGAATGAACAACCAGGGTATGCCAACCTGAGGAGAGGCATATACCACCCTAAGAACTAGGATCTAAGAATGTCACGTAAGCCACACACGGGGCTGAGGATGCAGCATAAGACGGGTAGTTGAAATGGCCCCCTGGGAGTGCCTGGTAGGAGAAGGATGCCTGTCTAGGAACAAATTGCATCTTTATTTCCTTTCTCACACATCCCTTTCGTACAGAACTTGAGGCTGGGCTGTTTTCGACAGTTTCCTGCATCAGCAGCATGCAGACACACCACTGAGTAAAGTGGTATCAGATGCTTAGCTCATTACGTCTCTGGTTTTGCTGGCTTAAACCCCAGCAAAGTAACGTGGCTTATATTTTACATGTGCTATATTTATATACTTTTTGTATTTGTAAAAACAGGAATTTTTTTTTCTTATTACAAAGGAGAAAGGGAAATGGGTGCACAGGACTTAAAAGAAACCAAGCTTCAGACTGTGCCTCTTTTGTAAGAAGAAAGGGAAAGTCTGTGATTCTGTAAAGGAATCCATGGGGTGTCCCTAGGTGCACCAGTATAAACCTCGACATTACTGGCCTGCATAAGAATTGGACCGATGGAGATGTATCAAAAGACAGAGTAGATTAGTCAAGACAACTATGGTGGACACCTTTTATTCATTCTACCCAGCAAACAATTGCTCTCCCTTTGGTAATGGCACCAGATTTTCTTCTGAGAGGCATCTCTTCCCCACTCTCAGTTCCTGTGGTTTGGGTGGTCCTGATTCTGCCCTTAGCAATATAGTCTCGCATGTGGTTCATTTACAGACAGTCAGAGCCTCTTACCTCCCTGGCCTTGCTTAACCCAGGGTTAAGCATCTGACTGAAAGAGAGTCAAGTCTAAGACTTTTGTTCAAACTGTTGTTGCAAAGGAGAAGAGTCTGTAAGCCTGGATTTGCTGGAAACATTGCTGCCATGAGCCCTATCCAGGAAAGAGCTGAGCTGAGGGATAGAGAGACCTGGACCCAATGAGTGTCTGTGCCCTGGAATCCATTTGTGCCTGAGAAGCTGAACTGACTCTTGGGCTTTTCAGATACATTAGTCAAGAAATTCTTTTACTTAAGTCATTTTCATCCTTTTTCGTAACCTAAAACCGTAAGTGTTTTAACTAAAAAGAAAACAGTTAATAAAATAAGAATCCACTTGTTTATGTGATATGATTGTAATTCTGAATAGTTTTGCCTAATTCAGGGGAATCCTAAGTCTGTGGATACTGAACTAAACTGCTTTAGCCCAGACTGTCTAGAACTAGGCCAGGGGATGGTGATGCTGATGTCTGTTGGACTTGGTAATTCTGTCTGGAAAAGAGCAGCTCTGATGCCAGAGGATCCAGAAATA